CCAAGGCCTCGCTAACACCTCTTCCTCTCTTCTAGCTTTCGTTTTTCTTGTGGTCCGTTTTGGCTTCGCGTATCCCTCGTTTGCCTATTTTTTGCGGAGCTTTCGGAGGCGGCGAGGAAGGTGGCGCAATGCGGACGGGGCCCAGCACCGTTGGGCGGATGTGCGGCGAAGGAGATGGAGCGGTACACCCGGTGATACCAACGCTTGTGCGTTTTCAGGGTGTGGACGCTCGCCGTCGGTATTGGAGGATGGGATCGCAAAGGGAGGGGGATGCGACTCATGCGCTCGGCGTATCGGCGGGTCGAGAAGGCGGAATGGCGACCCACCGTTGGCGAGATGAGTACGGGTTATCCTGGGCGCCGTATGTTTGCTCGTCGGCGCTGCCTCATCTAGAAGTCTGGTGGTCCTTCCTTATTTTCGCTGGGTTGGGGCCGCCGGTGGAGGAGCCCCGCCAGGTGATCATGCGCGGGATGTCGTTGAGGACGCGGCGTGGAACGTTCCACGCAACGAACTGCTCTGGGCGGAATGTTCGGGCATGTCCGGGCACGCACCCTGGCCACATCCAGTGGGTTGTGCGCAGAGCCATTATTTTCTTCTTAATTCCCGTGAAGTCATTAGTAGTACGATCATTCATTAGCTCAGTGAACGAGAACAAATAATGCGACTGGCGAGTCTGTGTCGAAAATTTAGAGCGACCAATCGTGTTGCCGGATTTGTCGTCGGAGTTTGAAAGCAACACTGCCACTCGTGATCACCCTTCCTGCCACAACAGGAAGGAAGGAAGGAAGGAAGTGGTATAACTGCAGAGGTCCCAATAAGGAACAAGCAGGCTCTGTACCGACGTACAACGCGTCCTAGTGTACGCTACAGATCTCTACTGCCTCGACGCTGTGATAGCCTATCTACCTCCAAATGAAAGTAATAGACGTCTCACGTAAAAGCTGCGTAGAGATGTGCGTGCATTTCGCGGACGCTGCTACGAAAACTCATGAATTTCACGCACCTAGGAAATCAGTACAAGCCAGCGCACAATCCATACACGGACCACCCGCTCAAAATGAAAAGAACTCTCTCGCTGCCGATCGCGCCCGTATTGCAGTCATCGGAGCACAAATATTGGAACTAGAACGCTCGCTCTCCTGCCTGGAAGAGGAGAGAACCCTACTGCAAGACCGACTCGACTCCTACACATACCCCGTCCTGACGCTGCCCAACGAGATCGTTTCGGAGATCTTTCTCCACTTTCTCCCTGTCTACCCTGCGACGCCTCCAATGATTGGTCACTCTTCGCCCAACATACTCGGGCGGATATGTCGGAAATGGAGGGAGATATCCCTGAGCACCCCCGCGCTCTGGCGGGGGATTACTTTGTCCTTGAGCAACGGGAAACGATTTGACCAAAAGCTTCGCCTCCTCAAACTTTGGCTACAATGTTCGGGGTCTTGCTTGCTATCCATTCACATGGACATCGAGGCTGACGATATGGACCCCAGCGGCGGCGCCCATACAAATTTGGCGGCAACTTTAGATCTATTCACGCACGCCATTGCAGCTCACAGCGCCCGCTGGGAATATGTGCACCTCTATTCATTTCCATTACCGCTCCACTCTCATTCCTCCGTGCACTTGCCATCGGTTCTGTGAAGCCCATCGTGAATGGTGTACCTAACACCGACTCGCTCGCGCAGGCGCTTCATGCAGCGCCGCTGCTGCAAGATGTCGCCGTTTTGTCTTGGCGCCGCGGGCACTGCACCTCTCTCTACCCGTGGTCCCAATTGACGAGGTTCACCGGAAACTCGATTTTGCCACACCTCTGCACAGATATCTTGGCACGAGCTCACAACCTCACCTACTGCAATATGTTTGTCTACGCGGAGTCGGCGGACGAAGTGACTCAAACGTATGCGGCCCCCCATTACGTATTTATCGAGAACTGACCGCCATAATATGTCCAGCGCACAAAATGTAACCCACCGAAATCTCTCGTCTTTAATTCTCCGCGGCTACATTCCCGACGACATGCCCTGGATATTTCTCGACATCTTCACCCTTCCGGCACTCCGGAAGTTAGAGATTAAACAAGGACTCCTCCAAGGCGACCCCATCGGTCTTCTTAAATCATTGATTTCGCGATCTAGGTGCAGTATACAAGAATTATACATGCCCTACTCGCCTGAGCCATCTCTCGAGTCGTACCGCCTCAGCTGGCCAACTGTTTCCATCGTAAATGGTCCACTAGATTCAGTCAATCCTTGGTTTGTTGCCGAGGACGAGGACGAGGACGATGACCAGGCGATGGAGGATTCCAATGCGGATAGCGACTCAGACTGATTCTTTTATGTATCTCGTTCTACTTCAAGTTGTTATTCACCTAAAGCATTTCAACAATGAATATTGATAATCCGAGTCTACTGCTTCGACCCGTCCTCGTCATGCCGATCCTCCTTCCGGCTTTTACCCTCTGCTTCAGAGTTTTTCCCCACTTGCCACCTCTGTCATGAACCACTGTTTTCTTAAGTCATTGCCGTGTAGTACTATCATTCAGTAACCCGGGAAACGAGGGCAAACAACGCGACTTGCGAGTCTTTTTGCTTTGTTTCGAAAAGGGCGACCGTGGACAGTTAATCAAGTGTGCCGGATCACTGTTCGAATTTCGCCGCTCGCCCCTGTCCCGATTTGGAGATTTGATGTCGGCAGGAATCGCGGATCGGTTCGAGATCATTCGAACAATCTCTTTCCAGAGGTTCGATGAGAACGATATTGGGATCCCCTGCAAACTCTTGGGCTCCCGGTCAGACTCAGATGACAGAGACATCCTCCGCCCACTTTTTTTTTGTATGTGGCTATACATCCGATTTTCTTTTGGGTCGGCCCCTCTCTGCTTGAAGTCTTTCTTCACTTTGACGACCATACCATTAGTTTTCGTTCCTCACCTGCGTTATAACATCTGGAAACCGTGCTAGTCTTACCTGTAACCCATCGACTGAATTTCAACAAAAACAGTCAGTCCGTCTCGTTTACATACCCCAGTGCGAAGTTTTCGTTTGTCCATCAATAACCCAGTTACTTCCTCCGACTAGGAACTCAAACTTATCCAGCCTTCTGGGCTATTCATACAGAGAGATTCATCGAGTACTGAGAGGAGGTAGTAGCCTCAGAGATTGTCTTCAATTCTCCAAACTTGTCAATGGCAATCCGACTCAAAATTCGAATCCACCCAAAAATTCGACGATGATGGAATTTGTCAAGCTATCCGACGAAGACTTCTTGAACGCCCTTCAACATAATTTCCCACCATGAGAGTATTCGACAAGCCACGGTCCAGGAAATTGCCGAGATAACTGAGATCTCCAGTTCAACGCAGAATTTGAAGGCCGGACAGAATCCAGGGCCAGAAACGACGAAAAAAGGCGAGGTCCAAAGTTCAACATATCGCAGCAGGAATAGAGATTGAACAAATTGAAATCTGGGCAGCCACTTACCTGAAATTTGAAGGTAAGAGGAAATGGGTTTCACAATGACAAAGAAAGTGGCTACCTCCAACCACGCTCGCGTCGTCCTGCCCTCGCCCGCTTCCGTGGACCTTCAACGCTCAAACCAGACACGTCCCTGAGTCCCGGAACCTAGTTTTATTACAGGTGCAATCACTCATAAACGTCATAGATTCCTGCTCCATCCATCCCGCGACTCCTTTCGAGCTACCTCATTAATCGAACCGTGGGAATGTCTGCTGTGCTGCGATCAAACCCCTCTTTTGTCAAGGTTTAGTCAAGGTGTGTTTGGTCAAGGTATTCCTCCATTGGTACATACATCAATACACATATTGAGCTGCCATGATTCAATTTAGCGGTAAGGATGACTTCCGTGCACCTCAAGGCACTAGTACTTGTTTCGATCTACCCGCACGAAGTTCAACACTACCACATTGTGTAGGTTCAATATCAGCTCGAGGATGCTTCTCCCAGTTATAGACTTAAAACAAAAGGGCGTCTCCGGACTGTCATCAGTTGTGTTTGCGCGGCGCAAAAGGAATTCAACCGTGGGAACGTTTGGTGTGGTGCGATCAAACTTGCTGCTTGGGTCTGAATCAGGTCCAATCGCAGCACAGGATTGGTCGCCTCCGGGAAATCGATGCACATGTTGAGTTGTGCAATAAACGCGCCAAGTCCTTGTGGATCAGCGTAGGATCGTCGGGGTGGAATCTATTGTTAATGGCTCAGCGGACTCACTGCGTTCCAGGGCCTCCTAGACTCAGCCTGAGTTCAGGGGCCTACATGGACCTACACTGAGACCCACCTACGTACAATCTGCGTAGGTCAATGTAGGTCAAATGACCTACACTGACCTATTGTAGCCGACTACACTGACCTACGTACACCTACATTCACCTTTACTGACTCAGCCTAGGACCCCCCGGAACGCAGTGACTCGGAAGAAGTGGGCCGAGTCGATTCTCACCCAGGGGATGCAGGCGAAAGCACCCCGAAGTTCTTGGATGAGTTTTTGCGCTGCGTTACGTTTGCGTTTCTTTCCTTCTCCGGGTTGTGTAGTTCCAGCAGTAGTACTAGTTGACGCGATATTGAACTGCTGAATTTCGAATCATTATTTCCAGCACAAAAGGGTGCGCTCACTGCGGCGCAACGTACGATATTTCCTTCAGCAACCCTGTTTCAAAATCCTAGGATCGTCGCGCACGATCTGATTTAGCGGTAAAGATGGCTTCCAACTTGCTTGCGAAATTCGATCTATTTGCCCAAAGTTGGGCTAGGACGACCACACTATGTGAATCGATACCAACTTAGGGTCATTCCTCGATTTTTTGACCTTGAGATTCCACCGGAAGGCGTCTCTGAATTGTACTTACTGTCCTTGTTCTGTGCCGCAAAAGAAATTCAACCGTGGGAACGTTTAGTTTATTGCGATCAAATAGCTGCTTAGGCCTCTGGGATCTCGACGCACATACTAGTAAGTTATAGTGGTTGGGATAGAAATGACACAAGGCCCTTGTGGATTAGTGGGAGATCATCCTTAGGTAATGCCCTATGTTGATCATAAAAATCCTTGAGGAAGATGTGGGTTCGAATCCCGCAAAGGGCGTATTGCTTTTCTGAAAGGCCTCCTGTTTTTAGTTCTCCATTTTGTGCAAACATCTGGACTCAGATGGAGCTGAACATCAGCGAACGTTGAGCCTGGAGCCAACGCGTTTGGTTTTTTTAGGTCTCATACACCTCTGTTGATTGAGAAGCAAGAGGGTCCGAATTCCGTCGACGGCAATTAGAGAGGTCGTTAAGTTTTCCCCCTCTTATTAGATTTTGTTTTCCGAATTTCCAATTCCACACCCTTTGCCCTTGGGCAATCCCTCCGAGGAACAGAAAGCAGAGAGCAGAAAAGACAAGGTGATCATCTCAACTTGAACTTTGAAGAAGTCAAGTTCAAATTTGTCGGAGGTGCGCTGAATGCAGCACTAGTTTCTTCTCCGAAGACTCGTCTTCTCGAGAAGCGAAGGCGAAATTGCGAATCGGTTGAGATTGAACGAAATTGAACCCTAGGTAGTCTAAGACTTTCGGAGCCGCGTTGGAGTTGGCTCCGCCAGAGAGTAGAAATTAAAAAGATCGGTGAGCATGCAAAACCGCAGAGGAATAGCACGAGAGGTTCAACGCACACCCGTCTACATTACGAGGTGACTGAGTTCCCCTGGTTCAACGCTATGCCCATCATTTACCCCTATCAGTTGCCGGCGCCTATCATTCAGTGCCGTTTCCCTTGCATTCCCCTTGCATTCAGCACACGCTGGCGCGATTCGTGGACCTTTCGCTCTTTGTTCTTCAAGTTCTCTTGCGAGTCCTTGCTCGCACTTCATGGGAGTCCCCTCGTTTCTTTTCGCGAATTTTCTGCGGGTTTCTCCGACGTTGGGAACCTTTCTAGTCGACGTCGCACTGGCAGCCTCCACTGGCATCGAGCAACAAGCGGGCCGTCCTCATGTGTACTCTGCTCGATGACCGTACTCTCAAGCAACTCCCAAGGTTGTGTTTCGATCGATACTTCAGCGCCAACGCATCGGCACCACCGCCCACGTCCCCGGACAAAAAGTACACCACCGCCGCCACGCGAGGGCTGGGCCCGGGTGGCGGCGAAGGAAGACAGCCGCCGAATGGCTGGAGCGCCGTGGAATCTTATGACGGTGCGTTCGTTGGTGCTTTTCGCTCTTCTAGTTCTCGCGAAAGACGACTTTTTTCTATCCTGTGGCAGCAGCCAGAAGTTGCTGACGCATCTGGACGCGAGACGGGTCCGTTGTGCGTGGTCGACGTCGCGAGTGCCGGGACATGCGCGTGGACGTCGTGGTCGACTGACACGAGTACCACGATGACTGCGCATCTCCCACCTCCCGGTGCGGGAGTGCTCAGGGCCGGAGCGGGATGCGTATGGGTCCTGCATCCATACCGGTCGTCGTCGTGGAATGCGCTACGGACGCTCAGGTCTCTTCGGGTGCTTCGTGCGCGCGGCTTAACCCCACCTTTCAGCGCTGCTATAACATACACCCTGTTCCGCCTTCCCTGCCTGGTACCTTCGCCTTTCATCTGCGTTCCTCCTCCCTAACCTTTCCTCTCTGCTTAATGTCGGCTCGTGCCACTGCCTCACGGATCGCCTACGCACACATGCCATCGCCACCATCCGCTCCCCAAGGCTCCGAGCTCACAGGACGCCCACCACGAGTTCACGACAAGCCCGGCGATGTACGCTCGACGAGAGCTGCATGAACAGGCCTCCGTCGAGTCGTGCGTGTTTTCCTTATGTGCCTTTCTGTACACCTCTCTTCTCCATTGGGTGATGCGAGCGTTTAGAGGAGGGCGCGCGGACAGTGCTGTGGGTACGTGGGACGCCGCAGACGGTCGAGGGCGTTCTGCGCCGCGTGTTCCGTACGCCGCAGAGAGTCGAATGCGTTCTGCGCCGGCACTGTCGCCGCCGACTCGGGTTGTGTGACTCGATGCGGTTGTGTGGCATTTAGCCGTGCGCGCTGTCTGGACGCGGGGGCACGCGGACGACGAGGACGGACGACAAGGAGCCCGTAGTGGGTGAAACGCCTCGGGTGTGCAGGAATGCGTCGTCTATGCGCGCCGGGATCGCAGGAACGGGGACGGGACGCGGGTGCATCAACTTCCAGTACGACGTGCGCGGAGGGCGGAGCGCGGGGATGCGTGATGCGCTCCCAGTAGCATCCAGCAGCCATCCGGCGAGCGCCCAGGAAGCGGGCAGGTCCAGTGCTTGCCTCGGCGTCGACGCGTGTGTGCGCGCTGTTTGGAGCACTGCACCTCGCCGACCTCATTCATCCTCGGTGCTGCAAGCTACACAATACATCTACCTGTGCGTACGGCGTACCATGCGCCATACACCTCCAGCGATCGAGCGAGCGTGCTTTCGGCGTGGGACTCGCTGCGGGAGCGCTCGGAGGCGGGAGGACGCAGGACATCGGGCGGGGTCGGAAACGCATACGTGTCTCGTGGGGTGCAGTGCAGCGTCGCGGTGTGTGCCGCGTCCCAAACGTACCAGTAGTAGACGACATCCCGCCACTCCTGTCATCTATCCTTCCTTTCGATCTTCCCAACCTGCTTTTCTCTGTTCTTCACTTCTCCCTGCTCCGCTTCGCGCTATGAACACGTCGATGCCCTCCCTTCCTCATAACAGGGCGCGACCCCCTTGTCCTTGTCCTCCATCACCTCGGCCATCCTCCCCGATGCTCAGCCCGGCGTGGATGCGCTTTCGGTTCTCTTGACGCGGGTGGGGCATCACTGCTTACTAGTGGCTCGCTGGTCGCCGTACAGGGTACCCGTGAAATTGTTGTCCCGGCCCCGAGGCACGATTAGGAGAGGAACGACGGTCGGGTAGAGCGGGACACCTCGTCATTTGCCTGCCTTGAGGTGGTCACGACGCCCCCGATGCCTCGGAGCGTACCTCGCGCGTTCTCCTCCTCGGCGTTAAGTTTTCTGAGCTCGCGATGGTGTTTGCGGTGTTTCATCCGTTGCGAGGAGTGCTTTACCTCGCTCGGCTGTCGCGTAACGAAGGGTGGCTTCATTCCACTGCGCGTCTGGAAGAACGGAGACTCCGTGCTTGTGTGCGCCGGTGCCGTCCGCTCTTGTCCCCGAGGCTAGTGCGGTGGCGGGCTCACGCAAGCAGTGCCAGGGCTTTGACGGCGGGGGCACCGTCCTCATGCTTTGATGGCGGTCGCGGCTCCCTCTCCTTCCTGGCGCAGCACGTCGTCGACCCAATTTTCCTTAGGCGGCTTGCTGCCTCCCGCTACCTCCTCATGGGTGACGCCGGACTCGGGCTCAACAAGGCGGCGCCCGAGCTGGAGCTCGTAAAGGCGAGCCGGCGAACAAGAAGGGTGCGGGTGCGACGAAGCAGAAGGGAGAAGATAGTCGGCGCGTCATTACATACTTAACCCGAGAAAAGAAGGAAGGGCGAGTGATTTTCTTTTGCGCGCAAGGATGATTGCTGATGACGATGATCTTTTCGGTGTACACAGGTGTGGGTGTAGGATTATTATGGGTCGAGTTATTCGGAGGAAAGGCCGGAATTGCAGGAAGGCAAAAAGAAATGATTACGATAATATTCTCCCTGCGCTGTTTCCGTGTCGGCGTCCATCCAATTCAGGTCTGACATTTCATGTCGAGTGATGCACATACGACTTCGGATACAGATAAACACAATCGACTTGAGGCCCATCACCGCCCACCCCCAAAAACCCACTCCAGCCACTCTCCGTACTCCACCCTCGTCTTCATCGCGGCCTCCAATTGGGGTTTTCCCACACCACCGCCCAACGTCGCGGGAAATGTCTTCTTCATGTGCCGCCCAAGCGCCCACGCGCGCGTCCTCTTTTTCGAGGTCGGTTCCAGTTTCGGGAACGTGCCATTGTTCTGCAGCCAGATCTCATCAAGGGCGCGTTGGATCTTGGGCGTTGATTTGTACGTTTTTGGCGGTTTGATCAGGGCGTCGGGGCGAGGGATCATTAGGGAGCGAAGGTGTTGTGTGGAGAGTGATTGCGACCATTTCAGCCAGGCCTTGACTGAGTCGATTCAAGCGAATTCAAATTGCTGGCTGAGTGAAGTTCGGAGCGGGATGAGAAGGAGAGGCCTTACTTCCGCTGTGTGTCTTCAGCGTGTCGATGGAGTGGTAGAACCGGGCGAGGACGGGCGCACGTAGGAGGCGGTGGACGATACAGTGACATGGCCAACACATCATCGCGATCGATTTTTCTTGTTCTGGTGTGAATGAGAGGCCTGACGCCGCGGCTGCGGCGCGGGGATAGAGGTGATGTTTTGTGATGCTTTCAGTTTCTTTGCGGCAGAGGTCGCAAGTCCCGTAGTGTTTGGCGGGCGTGTCCAAGGTCACTGAGAGCATCCCGATCCAGGGCCCTTTGAGGTCGAACTCAGCGCCACTCGCGATCGGACTGGGTCCAGCGACGGAAGTCATTTTGGGTCTGGAAAGTGGCGTGAGCGTGGGTGGAAGGCCAAATTCGGTGGCTTTATGGGGTACTGACAGAATCGCGAGAGAAATTGGCACTGAAAAGACTTTGAGGAGATTGGACCAGATTAGGAGTGCGAACAAATATTGACAGTGATGGGATCAAGTATCAAGTTTCAACCCTCTGCACCAAACGCCGAGCGCTCAAGTCCTGACCGGTCCAGTCCGAAACTGTTCAATAGCTCTCTTCACAAATTCCAAGTAAGCTTCAAGTTGCTCGGAGCTCATCGCTGACCGACTCAACTCTTCAACGGATCCACCACATTAAGTGTCGCTTGTGCTGCGCCCGTTGTGCGCGGTACTTTCGACTCTCGAGCTGCATCTCATCTCGTGAATACTCCGCATCCCCACCGAGGTTAAGTACTCGAATCTATCAAGTCCGTCTGACACGGTGTACATTTTCACTCGGCGTCGACGGAAATTAATCCGGGCTCAAGTGGGACAGGTCGATCGTCTCGCTCAAGTCGGTGCTAGGCCAGTGGGGCGTGTAGGAAGCCGCTAACGTCAGTCAGCTACTGCAGGCATCGTGTGCCCGATCGTGCCGTTTGCTCATCCATGCCGTTGAAAACTTATAG